AACAAACGGAGACGTAACAATAATAACTTAGAATTGTGTAGTTTTTGCCATAGCTTGGATCTCTTAATTGCATATCACACTGGTTTACCTAGACAAACTTACCTGCAGAAGCTTTGTTATTCAAAAGTACAAAACCTTCACTAAACAGATATCCTACCATTTCTCTCTAGCTTTATTAATTTAACTCCAAAGTTGAATAAACTCTGGTACAACTGTACAGTATGGTTTGAAAATCTGTTCATTCTAAATATATATATATATATAGTATTAGATGGTAATAGACTACATGGAAGGTAGCTAGTCAACAGCACTCATCGCTTTGACTGTCACGTTTATAGAGCAATCACAGCCCCAATGTGCGGAGTGTGTCTTAGAGACAATTAATGGTTTCCGAAACGGCCATGAGCCCTTGGATTCACAGTCCGAGCACACTAACTATTCTGTCACTTCAAGCCATCCAAACATCCAATTCTTGGCAGGTATTTTGATTTTAAATCTTCCAAGCCTCTTAGGGGCTTGAAAGACAATCAGGGGAGGTCAGAAACTTTCGTTTCCCTTCGCCCAATTCGTGAGATTAAGGTTTATTCATTTTGCTCACCTCCACCCCTCTACAGTCTAAGCTTGTTATAGTTACAATATATGTCTAGCTTAACGTTTTTAATACAAACTATTAATACACATATTCATTTCGACTATATTATAATGTTTAGAAACTGTAGACAGTGTAATTAGTTGCATAATCATCCCACGTTTCAATAACGTATATGACGTTGATGCGTATAGACCAATTACAACAAGGTGCTGAGATATGTGCCGCCTCTTTCCTGTGTTTAGTTTCGTCATAGTTCATTGACTGAGAGCAAACCGCAATAGAGTATATAGTAAAATGAAAAGTTGAGCATAAAACTCAAAGGAATAACAGCAGAGTTGAGAGTTTTTAACCTAGTTACTGATTCTTAAGTTTTAAAATGTAATAATAATTTAATGACATTTAGATTTTCGTATCTATTGTACACCATATTATTGATTTCTTATATATATATATATATATTTATATATAATAACATAAGAAAAACATTTTAAAATTTATAGTTACAATACAGTGTAAGGTATCCTGTGCTATTTTACACTGCACAAGTTTGTTATTGCTGTTACGTGTGAGAAGGTAAGATTTAACTTAAGGAATTCGAATGATTGTAGTTAGGTGTTTGTTTGTATTTATTTAGCATCATTTATGCATGTAGCTAATATTCTGGACTTTTTTTCTAGTGTTTGAGAGTGGGTTATGCTATAGTTTTTAAGTTTATAGACTTCCTAATAATAATAATATACATTAAGAGCATACAAAATTCGACTTTCTTAAGTATCCTTCTTCATAACGTAAATGTTTTATTCATGAATATTAGATATTTTGCATCCTAACTTTTGTAACTATGTAATGTTCTGAGTTTAATTCATCTGAAAAAGTCATAAATGACAGCTATCTGTATTATTTATTCGCAGAATATAAAATAACGCTATAGCTTATTTATTATGATTTAACAGAAGTTTTACAACAATGTTACATATAAGACAGCATCAACCACTTACTTTTTTGAAACATGCAAAAGTTTAATGTTGACATGAGAAGGTCCTACTAATTTTTGTACAAAGAGCAAACTTGATAACAAATGAACATGTGAATATATTTTGGGACACTTTTTCTTAAAATTAAAATATGACTGATTAGTGAGTTAAAGGTTTATACATGACCAGGTATGGATGAAAGCAAACTGCATACAGACTAAAAAGTGGTCCTTACAAACTTCTGTGACACATACATAGCTGACCAGAGTGAGCCATCTTCTTCACATTAAAACAATTAAACATGTTAGGAGTCATTCATGTGCAAAGTTATAAAACTGACACCAGTCATATTTTTGTTTTATAATTAACTGTGACATTTATATTTTCTTATTTTTAAATTACCATCTTTGTAATTTCTTTTTAAGCCAAGTTTTTATATAATTTTTGTAAAACCAAAAATTGTTGCTACTATCCAGCATGCTTTGAACCTACAATGATTTGAAACAGCTATGTTCTCACTTCTCTTGACTGTTGAGGAGGGGTTATTATTTCTTGGCACTTGCGTATAATGTTAAAATAATAAATAACTAACAACATTAAAATAGGTACACAAAAACATTTAATTAAGACCAATCTATGACCACTAAAAAGTTGACTAAATGTTTCGATGTTACAACATCACCTTCAGGAGTGAGTTGCAATACATAATCGTGTCGTATTTATAATTTTCTTTTGTTAAATAAATCATGTGACTTATGTACAGGTTTACAATTTCTACTTGAACTTTTTAGAGTGGGGTGACCTTCTCTTAAAAGTTCATGCAGGAAGTGTAAACCTTTACATAGGTCACATGACCTATTTTAAAAAAAAGTATAAATAAAGCACGATTATGAATTGCAAGTCACTCCTGAAGATGACATTGCAACATCAAAACATGTAGAGTCAACTTTTTAGTTGTCATAGATTGGCCTTAATTAAATATTTTTAATTGTGTACCTATTTTAACATTGTTTGTTATTTATTATTTTATTGAGAAGGAGTAACATTTGAACCAGTTGTTGAAGTAATTGTGCTGAAATCTTATCTGTATGTTTGTGGCAATATTAATAAAGTGAAATAATGAATTAAATCTAAAGTAATAAACCATTAAAATAAAATATTAACTTTTGTATGCAAATAAGCATACAATAAAAAATACAAATGATTTTTTAAAAGAACGTTTATTGTGTTTTTTATTTTGGGTCAGAAGATGCATGTTCCTGTGACTATGAACTTAGGGGTAATTTTTAAAATGCAAGTATTTAGATGTTTTGGCATCGTGGACATTATGTTAAGTTGTATATACTCTTGTTGTTGAATAGGTTGAATAAATTATTTCCCTGACAATCACTTAAAACTGAAAGCAGCAACAGTAATGGAATTACCAGGGTACAGTGGATCTTTTTTGAGTGATAAGACACGTGAGCTGTATAAGAACGTAGATGAGTTTGCAAAGAAGTATTCCTCCCAGTATAATTCCAGCATCTTCTTGTCTCGCTTATTATTGAAGCCTACAGTAGTTGTGACTGACAATGCAACAGTTAGAGAACTACTTGCTGGTGAAACTTTTATTTCATATTCAGTGTTTTGATATTTTAACAATTAAATGTTTATTATTATTATTGTTTTTTAGCTAGTTTTAACTTATTTAATTAACCTTACTAAAATACTAAGTTTCAGTGAATATTTTTACCTGCCTGGATTATTGTAAGCTTGTGATGCTGCTTCATTCACACAGAGGAACTGTTAATTTGAATGACACCAGTGCTAACATATGTACATGTGAGAACGTGTTTGGTTGTATTGTTTGTGAATACTGGTTATTAATATACTGTGAAAATAAAGTAATCTATCTAAGTGGACAGTGGTAGTTGTAATTCCATAGATATGGCATGAGGGTATGAATGTTTTTAATATGAAGAATATACCAAGGCATGTTATGGTTTCAGTGTGATTTATCAGTAACCTTTGTGGTGACAGTCTTGTGGTTAAATGAGTTATTAGCCAACCCAGCCTCTTATAAAGAGGTTCATTACAACTGGCATACAATGTTGTTTTTGTTCTTGGTTATATGGTCAAGCTGGTAAGGGATCTTGGCTATTCTATGGAGTAAACTACCTTCTACTAGATGTGGAAAGGTTATGATCTCTTAAACTGTTTTCTCTTGAAACAAGAAGAGTTAGAGGAGATCTTAATGAGATGTTAAAGATTGTTAAGGGAAATGATAATGTCAGTGCATCAACTTACATACTAAGTGGTGAGAGTTGTAAGATTAGGGGACACATATATAAATTTTGGCAAGATAGGAGTAATTTTCAGACATTTTTATTTTACTAACAAGGTGGTTGGTCTTTCGAATGCATTTCGGTCAGGTGTGGTAAAGGCAGTGAATTAAAATGAACTTAAGGGAAGGTTTGATAACAAATACTTGAATAATGACTGACTTTGAATATTTTTTAAGTAGATGGGACAGCCTTTACATGGACCAGTAGGTGTCTTTTTATCCTTAAATTTTATGTTGTAAGTCAATTCCTCTCATTTTGTATTCATATTCATCATCATTATTTAATATCTCTTCCTTATTGAAATTATACATCTGTACTCTCCATTACAAGATTGACTGTGTTTTTTTTGCATAATCCTCTGAGAACAATAGGTGATGAATACTACACATAAAGTAAATAAGTATTGCAATAAAAGTAGTGTTATTAGAGCACAAACTTTCTTGAAACAATTTAATATAAAAAACTTTTATTTATACTATATTGATATAACTTATTAATAGCTCTGAAATTTCTGTTATCATATTATGCTTAATCTTGTAATGCTTGTGTTTTTTTTGTATTGAATGTTATATTTACTTGAATAATTTATTTCAGATTTTGTTGCATATTAAATGTTAAAGTTTTTGTTACTAACTACCTACCTTGTGTAATTTTTTTAATGATATTACCTATATTCTCATTTTTGTTTTTCTCAGCATTCAGCTTATTTTGGAAGATTTTTTATGTGGTATTTCCATTATTGTTTAGGTTTGCATAGTAGTAACCAGAATGTTGTTCAGTCTAGTTGTCCAGATTTGGTTTGTGATATTAGATCTGTTCAGAATGTTTTATTCCTTATGAACCAAGGTAGACAACAAAATGTGGTTATGAATGCAGATCTTGGAAAATGTAAAAGAGATTTGATTCAAAGTTTACAATCTCTTAATGCTATCCACTCTTCTGACAAGTCTTGCAGATTTTTTTCAATAAATGCTTTTGATAATTCTAGAATTCCTGACCTAACAAATATTGTTAATCAATAAGTCTTACAAAGTTTAAAAGTGTTTTGAACATGAACCATCAGTATTCTGACATGATAATGAAATTTTACAAGATCACTGGTTAAAAGATTGTTAAATGTTTGTGTCAGCCTGTAATGTAAATTCCAATAGTATGTTGAACAAATTGTGGATTATTTAGGGGAAGAACCATAAGAGTGAATTTTATGTATAAAATTCAGTCTTTCATCTTAAACAGATTTTTTAATTGAATTTCTAAGAACCTTAACTTATGATGAGGAATTATTTAAAATTGTTCTTGATAAATACCAGCATCCAAATGAGTCTTTTCCAGTACGAACAAATAACCATTATAATAAATCATGTGTTAGATAATTAAAATTTATTCTTCAAATAACATTACCTCACACTATTGAAGAATTATTTGTTCATATCAAGATGTTTCTATATTTCTGGAATTTAGCTCTTGTCACTCTTCTGATAATGTTGTTTTTGAGAATTCTTCTTTTTTTCTCAGATTCAACAGTCAGATCCATCTAAGAATTACCAGTGTTATTTTTGGTGTGAAGATAATAGTCATTTGGCTCCAACCTTTACAGTTTCTTCTACACCTCAAAATAGGAGTAGGGAAATGCCAGGTGGAAGTTAGAAAAAGATGTGATATCACTTTCACAAGCTAAAAAATATACCCTAAGTATATGACAGGTGTACATGAAAGGAGTAAAAATATAGTATCAGTATTTTCTGTCCCTGTTCAAATAAAAAAAAAATGTTATAAAGTTCAATATGTTTGACTGACAGTTCTTATTCAAGGATTTAATAAAATAATAAGTTGATAACTCCGATGTTTTAAAATGCCCCGTAATTTATTAAATAAAGTTAAAAGCAATAAAAATGAAAAACTACATGTTTTGGTGAAACTTGTAGAAAGCTTTTTATTGCTTTTAACTGTATGCAATTAATTACTGTGCATCTTAAAAAGTTGAAGTTGTCAACTTATTATTTTATGATATAAAGTTGTTGTAGATAATGCTACAATGCTTCTGATTTTGGGCTGGGAGTAGTTTTATCTCAATTATGTGATAACGGACAAGATACTATTATATGTTATGCTAGTCACATTTTAAAGCCAACTGATAGATAATACAATACAAATGGAAGAGAATGTTGTTTGGGCTTTAGAAAATTTTTGATCTTACCTTGAAAAAGCTCCATTCACAGTTCCAGGAAGATTATCTAGATGGGCTTTGTTTCTTCAAAACTTTGATTTTAAAGTTATTCATAGAGCATCTAGGTGTAATGTAATTGCTGGTACACTTGTCTTGAAATCCAGTTGATTTGCAATCTACATATTCTCAGGACTTAGTTTGAAATTTACCAGCTAGAGCTTTCATAGCAACTTTGAATTATCTTAATGTGAATCTTTCTGATAAAGAGACATTAAGAAATATACAAAGTAATCACCCAGAAGTATTTACTATTATCAAATAATCACAACATGGTATTTATTTGGGTTATTCTAGTTACAACACTAAAAAAAGTAACTGTAACATCTTAATAATAACATTTTATATGTCTCACATGACCATAGAGAAAACTATACAATATTATCATGATTATTATTCATCTGATCATCTTGGAGTATTTTAAATTGTTAAACATTGTAACATCTTAATAATAACATTTTATTGTCTCACATGACCATAGAGAAAACTTTATACAATATTATCATGATTATTATTCATCTGATCATCTTGGAGTATCTAAAATTGTTAAACAATTATGCTTGAGGGGTTGCTGGTCTGGTTTGTGATCAGATGTGAAAAATTATAATAAGACATGCCATTCCTGTCAGCTGTGAAAAACTTCACAACAATAGTTATGGTGCCTCCATATTTTTCTTACCCATAGGGGTTAGGGATGAGACAGTACACTCAGCTCCCAATATGAAACATATCACAATACACAAAATCTCCCCTACATCTCTGTTTAACTTACTTTAAAATAATTGGTAAAGTTTTAAGTCAATACATAGGACCATTTAAAAAAAAGCACATTTACTTACCAATGAAGAAAGTTTTTTAAAACTGTTACAAAAAAAATCATTAGCAAATGTTAATTTTTTACTTAATACAATTACTAGGTTTATCTGCAGGTTTCTTACTGGTTATGCATGCATTGATAAAGGAATTTTACACAAAAAAGAAACTTGCAGGGAGAGTTGAGCTCTTAAGCAGATGAACTTGAAAACTTATTATGCTCCACAGTTTCTTTTATTCCTTTGTACACTTCTGGCAAGTGGACCGTACCATGAATGTGATGCAATATATATAATGGACATTGTTGATTATTTCACTGAGTAGATTTAAATATTTTTCATAAGAACAGCCACTGCATCAGTAAGTGCTCTTTGATTGGTAAATGAAGTTATTAGTAGACATGTAACACCTCAATATATATTATCACTGATAGAGACATTCAGTTTACAAATAAATGGTTTTCTGATTTAACTTATAATTTGAATATACAACACAGATTTACCACAAAATATCATCCTCAAATAAATGCTACTGAGAGGATAAATAAAATTGGAAAAACTATTATTCATACATACATAGGTCCACATTAGAATTCTTAGAGTAGACTCCAGAGTAGAAAGATTTAAGATATGTTAACAATGCATTGAATATGGTGCATACAAAGCAAAAATGGGGTTTGATATTATACACATATATTTTACTTTTCAAATCAATAATTCAATTAAAGTTAAAATTCTTTGATCAAGGAGAGACATTAGATTAATTAGTATATTAGCCCATTTGTATATTGGTCCATGTAGGTTATTGGAAAAGTTATAAGAAGCTAATCATTAAGTCAAACATTTTCCTGGCAATTCAGATTTAGTTGACTGCCGTGTATAACTGGCCACGTTTCTGTGGGAATGAGGTTTTTGTTACCTTGTGATGAAACTAAATATGTTAATTCAATTGAAATTCAGTCATATGATACTTTATTTTTTATTGAAATTTTGTTGTCTCAAAATTGGGTCACAGTCAAATATGTGTTTAAGGCGTGTGAATGATGTAAGTGAAAATTTCACGTTGTTTTGTGAAGTGTACAATCTCCAATCTGCTGATGTACATTTCCTCATCAGTTTAATATTTACCATGTTTCTTCTCTTTAAAAATGGTCTTCTGTACAGATTCACAATGTTAAATGCATCAGTATAGCTTTGTATATTTTTTTAATGTTTCATACCAACTTGATGATCTTGAGACAGAGTGACTTATAGTGAAAGTACAAGGATTTATAAGATGGGAATTTTTCACATTCTTTAGATTTATTTACTTACATGTACTATGTTTATCTTATTCTACATATGTTAAAAAATCTGGAAGAGAAGTCATTAAGCTGAGACTTAATCAGTTCAGTGAGATTAAAGTATTCACCATTAGTTCACTTGTGAGATTTATCAAATTCTATTCCATTTGGTCATTTTATGCTGCCGTACATTTCTTCTTTAAAGAATCAGTCATATCCATTTTATTGTAATTGGCTTGGTCTCTGCCATCTGAGAACATTTTAGGCACATAACACATTTTACACAGCTCATGCTCAAATGCTTAGAACTTGTACAGTTTTTACAAGGATGATGCATCCAGAGTGGATTGTGTATGAGGACCCATTTCAGTGTCATCTGGAACAGAGAACATCAGGCATACACCATTTAGAATAATGGTTACTACTGATGATATTTAGTAAAAATGATACCATTGTAGGCAGTAGTATTATTCTCTCGTTTAAGATAACCTTTTAGTTCTAAATTACATGGCGTTGATTACGTTAGATCCACACTTCATGTGTAATATTATATATCTTTATTCTTTTGGCATGACTGAATGTTGTATCACCAACATTACTTCAATGTTAGTCTTATGAACCAATAAGTAAGTAATGTGACAAAACACTGTTGGTACAATAACCACAGAAGTATCTCAGTTTTGTTGAATGGTGTAATTTTTAATGTGTAACTATGAAGTTAGCTCTACTGAGCAAGTTGTAATTTCATTGCTTGATACATTGAGCACATTTAAAACTAGTGTAGATCAATGGTTACTTAGAATTTGATACTCATAAAAGAAATAAGAACATGGCAATAGATAAATTAATTTCTGCAAATATGCCATATTGTAGTTTCATTATAGTAAATATTTTTTGGGCATTACTTGCAGGCAAAATTGTCTCTTATGGTCCTTTTTCCTATACCCTTGATAATTGGTGTATATAACTGTTGCAGTTCATTTCCTCTTGTTATTGTGGGGAAAGAACAAAGGATAGCTTCAACATATGGCTCTTGGTTCTTGAGGGCTGTCCTTACACACCCATCCTTGAGAAATCCACTCTATATTTTGCATGCTTATATATATTATATTTATTGTGATGTTTTTTTGGTTTACAATTTTCTTTGCAAAATTTTGTTTTGGTAGTTTTTACAATTATATATATCTAAACATATAACTATTTTAATATGATATTAATAATGCTTGGAGACGGCTTGAATAGGTAATGAAGAAAAACTTTAATATAAGTTTGACATAACAGCAAATGTACAACATTTCGCCAAGGTTTTGTCATCATCAGGTACAAGTAGTTTACACTGACACAGATATATATATATATATATATATATACAGTATGGAACAAAGAGGTCACATGATCAGATACTGTTGCAAA